GGAAATCCTGCTTCATAATTTTCTATGAAATTTGAAAATCTGATGCCATTCCCAATCGCTAGCTGTAGGTGGCGCAAATTCTTTTTGGTCAGAAGGGCGTGATTTCCCCTTATCAAATAAGGGGAATGCTTATTTGACAAACATCAATTTCTCCTTTAAATAATCCCTTCCAGCTACCATTTGTCTGATTAACATTATATTCTTTAGCTTTGGACGCAGAGCAGTGTCTTGGAGGAGAGCAATTTCTAGAACGTCTAGAGAGACCTTTCACTTTCATAACTCTCCTAAAACATGCTGAAGAAACTTGCTGACAAATCTGAATCTGTTTCGAATGTTTCCAGAGACGTAAAATAGGGTTCTTTCCTGAAACTTATATCTGAGGTTCAGAAACCCTTAAACTACCTAGAGTTTCTGTTAAAAGGGCCAAACATCTAGACAAATATTTCAGACACCTCAGTCTGTGCAATAAAAACCCATATTTGGAAGCTGGAATTAGCCCTATGAAAAAGTACATTTAACTGTGTTTATGAAAACTTAACAATCTGTGTTTTCACTTAATCACTTGAAAAGAGAGTTCTTTTTGCTTGTGGTAGTGTAGTAAATATTATCTGGTTAAAAAGTATAAATAAGAAATAACACTTATGGTAGAGGCTTTTACTGTCTATATTCATGGTCCTTAGGTTTGTCCTGGACTACACACACACACACACACACACACACACACACACACGTGCACACACGCACACACACACACACACACCACACAACCCTCACCAATCAGACGGTTCTTTAGCCTCAGTTTCAGCGTACTCAGTCTGTGTCTTAGGACCAAAAACTGAAGATGTTCAATAAAAACAATAGCCACAGCAGTTGCATTCCTCTGTGAAAAAGAAACTGTTTTATAAGACTAAACACCTCTTTCTTAGCAAAATAGAAAGTAGGCTGGGCCTCCCAGGTGGCGCAGCGGTTGAGCGCTGGGTGGAGAAGCTGCCCACAGCCTATGCGGCACTGGTTCGATCCCCGGCTGCTCCCCGGCCACCGGAGGAGGGTCCCACATGGCGCGCAGACCTCTCCTGCCGCCCGCTGCTCCCCTCAGCAGTGTACTTCGGTCCTTCTGCTTGCTCTGCTCCCTGCTCTGGCTCTGGTGAATTCTCTCACCCTCCCGCGCTTCTGACTGTACCCAGTGCATGTATGTATAAACAAACAAACAAACAAACAAATAAATAAATAATACATGCCTCTTTAAAAAAAGAAAAATAAAAAGAAAGTAGGTTTATCTGTGACAAGCAAAGATGTATTCTATGATTTTAGTTGGCAAAGGAGAATGATGGGACATTTCAAACCAAATTAGGATTCGTTAAATGTCTTGGCCTTGGCTGGGAAAATGAAATTGAATATTTGAGTAAAATTGAGTAAAAAAAAATTATAGGTATGTTAGTGGCTTCTATATGATAAGGTAGCAGTTATGTTAGCATGTAACTGTGGGGTACCCAGGGACCCCAAACTTAAGGGGAGTGCACGGCCTACGAAGATTCTGCCATCCACCTCCTAAAGACAAAGGAAGCAGATTCTTAGTGTGAAAGAATTGGTGTACAAGAGAAGGAAGAGAAGAAACGATATCCCTAACAATAGTTTGACAGTAAAAATACCTAAATTGCCCATCCCCTTGTGGGCAAATGCCCAGCAAAACAGGGTCAGCCCAAAGTGGAGCCACTGAGGCATGAAACCTTGCCACAAGTCTAAGGTACCTTCTGATAGGGGACCACAGGAAAGGGGTGGCAGGAGATGCCACATCAAGAGAATGGCCTTCATTGTCAGCCTCTCCAAATGTTTCTCACAAGGTATCTCTTCAAAGCCCCCTACATGTCTCTTCTGCATGCATGTCCTCCTAGTCTCCTTCCCAGAAGTATCTGTGTACAAGTCAAAACAGGAGAAACAAGCCTGGAGACTACTGGGCTTCTCTTAGGTAGCTTCATCTGAACACACAGCTCTGCCCCCTAGTTTCCAGTAATTACCCCTGGAAGTCTGGCTCACACAGGGCCATGTAGTCCACAGCAACTGCATCTAATCAGGGGCAGGGACAACAGCATCAACAGCAATTCACTGCTCTGTGCTCCTCCTCCTCCTGTTATGGAGATGCATTCTATATCAGTTACTTACTCAATGCTAAAAACCACTATTTCCCACCAAAAGCCCCACTGTCAGAAGGGAAAGTCAGATCCTTCACAACTCTGGTAAAAAGTAGCAAAGCATGTGGCTTCTCAGACTGTGTTGTCATCTTGAAAGAAGCATCTGTCTCCCCACCAAGCCATGAATGAATTGACCACAGAACCAGGTCCTTGCATTATTTGTAGGCCCAACCAGCAGAGTGTCCAAACTTTCCAACTTGTTGAATTAAATTCAAGACAAGGAAAAGAAAGCACTATTTCGGAAAATGGAAATGAAGTTAAAGTTCTCATAGCTGTCACCCCAAGCACCCCACATTATTTTGGAGAAAATACTGGGCATCCCAACATTTCATCTGTAAATATTTTCAACCTGCATGTCCAGAAGATAAAGATTCCTTTTAAAATTCATAACCCCAAACACCATTATCATACCAAAAAAGTTAACAGTGGTTCCTGAATATCACAAATATCTACTCACTGTTAAAAATCCCTTTTTGTTTTAATTTTATAAATTGTTTGAATCAATATCAGGTTAGGTATATACATTGCATTGGTTGATATGTCTCTAGGCTCATTAAAACTTGGTTAAATTTATGTTCCTATTTTTCCATTTTTGCATTTGAAAAAATTCAAATGGACAGAAAAGTTGCAGAATAATAAAAAGAAGCAGAAGGAGGTGGTGATGGTGATGGCAAAGGAAGAGGAGGAGCATGGCGGGGAATGGGAGGTAGTTCCGTGAGGGTAAGCCTTCTGCTAGGCTGGTTTTTTTTTTTTTTTTTTTTTTGCCTGAGCTGCTTTTATTTTATTTTTTCCCTACTTGCATTTTATTTATTTATTTTTTAATTTTTTAAAACAGTATGAAGCATGTGCTCTTGCTAATTTTGCATTGCTCAAGTACTCACCGGTGGCAGCCCCTAGAATAGGTAACCTTAGCTGCAAAGCTGAGGTGACCCTGAAGAAGCTAAAAGCATTGAGCCAACTGTTGTGTACAGAAGTGGGTAGCATTTCTTTTTTTTTTTTGCTGGAAGGGAAATCAGGTCAAGCATCTTTGTGTCTCTCATTGTCCACAATTTGTAACTTTCTCCCTACAGCTTTGGGGAACTCTTCAGGGCTCTGGTGGGTATCTCATCCCCATGGGAAACAGAAGAAAATGTTAGTAGGACAAATGATAGCCCCTGTTGCTGCGTCTGGCGACAAGAAACTGGCATCTATCACCTCCTCCTTTACTATCCTAATTTCCCTGTGCTAATATTAGTAGTTTGGTGAAAAACCCCCAAATCCACATTTGTGAGGAGCTCCAGTCACCCCAGTCTTATCACAGAACTCCTGAGAAGGCGTAAGTATAAAGCATGAAGCAAAGAGAGCTATTTCTAGAAAAAGACATCCTGTTACTTGGAAAGAAATGGTTGGATTCAGTGGAAGTCGTGAGTTAGGAAAAACAGAAGTCTCATCAGCTGACTTTCAAGTCATGTGAGAGGGCACAAAGGGAAACTCTTTAAGAGTCTGAATAGCACAGAGCCATGTAAGGAACACTTACTAAACTACTCTCCTGTAAGATCAAGTGTGAGGACTCTTGATGTCAATGTAAAGTCCCTAACAATGAAATGACTTTTAGGGGAATGGGTCCAGGAAAGAAGGGACAGATTTAGTAAAGTTCCAGGCACTGTGGGGAAGGAAATGTTTCTGTCTGAAGGAGCTGTTTCTGTCCTGTTCTGCTCTGCACCCCCTTTATGCCCATCCAATAGGATTTTGCTACTCAAGGTGTGTCTGAAAGTCAGCAGCAATGAGCACTACCTGGGAGCTTATTAAAAATGGTGAAGCGGCCCACCTACTCGAGAACTACTGGATTAGAAACTTTGTTTTCCAAGCTCTCTAGGTGACATGTGTACACAGTAACTTTTGAGGTTGGCAATAGAATTCTAACTTGTCCTATAAATCTGCGAGATTTGAAGGAAAAACAAAATCATGGCATGAAAAATGTTTTCCATCTTTTAAATAGAGGTGACCATTGCATCACTGCTTGGCTAATCTTCATTCATTCTCCTTGGCTAATATTTTTTTCTGCTTGGCTAATATTAATTAATTAATTAATTCATTCATCCATTCAACAAATATTTGGCAGGAAGATAGGCAAGCAGAAGTAATCAACATCATTGGGCTTAATCTCCTAGACATCCATGAGGTTACTCTGCCTGTATTCTATATAGGGGAATTGAGGACAATGAAGAGGAGCAACATGCCCCAGGTGACACTGCGCAGGGGAGGAACTGGGGTGCAATACACCCCTCTCTAAATGCAGAACCCAAGCCCCACCACCATTTGTCGCCCACAGGGAGAGCGTGCATTCATTTTGTCTTTTCCACGGGAATGTTGCACAAGGTTGGACTTCCTCTGGTAGAGTTGCAGAGTTCCCATCTGTCCTTCTGTGTCGTGGGCAACAATAAAGTTCGGGGGTCAGAGGAGAACAGTAACCAAATTTCAGAACTAAACTGTTCCGGGCGATTGCACCGAGTCGCGGAGGCAGGAGAATCCTCTTGCAACACCCTGGTCACAGGCTACACCTAGACTTGCCCTTTCATCTTGCTTCTCTCTTGGTCCTCCCAGAGGAGCAGTGGAGGCGAGACGAGAGCCTAGACAATACCTCCCACAACAAAAATGGCGGCAGACACGTCTTGCCCACACTTGGCCTGCGCCGCTCTGCGCCTCCATAGCAACGCGGCTCGCTCCGCCCGCGCCAGCCTAGGCCCAGCGAGTGTGGACGCGAAGAGCTTTTCCCGCCCCCTCACTTTTGCGACAGTTGCAGCGAAAGTCACGGCAGTTGAGGCTGGTGTCAGCTGATTTACTGCAGCGGTGGCGGTGGCAGCGGCTCTTTGCAGCCTCGGTGGGGAGAGGGCGGCCGGACAGGGGTTGCGCCCCGATTTCCCACCCGGGGGTGCGCACCCCCGCTCCCCGACCCCCTCCCCAGACACGTCCTCGCCGGGTCCTCTTTTGCCCGGACACCCACGGATGGTCTGATCGACTCGATCGCGGCAGGAGATGAAGCTGTGACAGGTAAGGGGGCTGCCGAGCTTCCCGGGGGACCCCCCGCGTGCGACCTGCCTGCAACGTGGGGCTCGGAGCTGGAGGTCAAGGATCGTGGGGCGCTGCGGCCGCAGGCGGTCCCGGCTGTCAGGGCGCTGCTGCTGGAAGCTGTGCTCGTGCGGTGGCGCCCCCAGGGCCAGGCCCACACCTGGGTGCTTTGGCCAGGGGCTTTGGGCCTGCCAGGGGGCTTTGGGATTCTCGGGCCTGGTGAGTGACATTTGCTTCTGGTGACGCTGCCTCTGGTCCTGAGATGGGACTGGTTCGCCCTCAGTGCCCTTTAATCGGGGCGAGGTGGGGAATGATGATGGGTGGGTGGTTGAGTACTGGTGGGTAATGTAGGTACATTACTTTTGGGGTACACACGGCCTCTCCTTACCTGTTGGTACGTCTGTTCGAGTTTCATCTTTGAGATGCCACCTGCCAGGTGTCATCCTTTCGCCTTAGAACTTGGCCTAAGAGGAGACCTGATGCTCTTGCTCACTTGCTAATGGGTCCCAGCCTTCTGAAGCTCTCCGTTTGGAGACAGCACTACTCTGCCTTCTGTGTTTTGATTGCTGTCCTATGTCAGATCTTCAGGCAGAATTTGCTGTTCCCTACGGTTGGATGCTGTGGAGCTACAGTTGCATCACAGGCCGCATTGGTATTGTTGATGCTGCTGATTTTAGGATTCAGTGGGAGCTGCGGCTTCCTTTCGCTGGAACATTTGCCATGAGCCAGAAAAGGCAAGCTATGACTCTTTCAGATGTTTACTGGCTTAGGACTTTATGAGCATGATGGTAGGTAGGAATGATCTGTTGTGTAAGAGCAATGGACTTGAGTTTTGGAAATTTTGTTACACAAAATACACAATTTGTGCATTATTAGCAATTTGTGACAATAGGGAGGTGGAGGACAGCATAAAAATGAAGTGTGTGGAAATTTCTTTGTCAGACTGAAGACAAAAAACTGCATTGATTTCATCCAAAATAACAGCTTAGTTATTTCCAACTGGGAAAATGGCACAATGTAAATAAACAGTAAAGGCTTCATTAGCTTCAATTAGAGGTTATGGTAGAGAAATTATTTAAATGTCTGTCTTAAAAAAAAATCACTCCAGAGCCCTGCTTAACAGCACACCTGGAGTATACACTTTAATTTTTTTTTTGCCACCTGTTAAAATTTAATAGATCTCAATAATTTGATAAATTAAAATGACTGGGGTTTGTCTTGGTGAGTATCACTGTGGGAACATAAATGTTGAGGTAGTGAGCCTTGTACCTTATGATTTCCTTTTATTTAAGTTGGGTTTAAGTTCTATTTGAAGCAAAGGAAATAGAGTGATATATCTCTGAAACAGGCTTAGCGCTGAACACTTTGAAAAGTGATGAGCTGATTTTGTGCCTAGGACATGAGAAGGGTAGGGTGACATTGGACTTTAATGACACGCTCTGTGTTAGGTATGAATCCTTAAAGTTTTGGACCTCAGGTGCTGAAGATTGAGTTCATCCTCTCAACTCAGTGATGATCTTTGGGCTGTTCAAGGTGTGACTCCTGTTTGTTTGCTTGTTTGTTTTCCCATATAATGCCTCTAATTTCCAAGTCCCACTCCATTCCCTTGCCCATTAACCCACAGACAATTGTTCTAACATAAGTGATGTGTATCCTTGTGATTATAAGTGTTATTAATTGTACAGTGTCTTGGGTGCTCAGGTAGCAGATGATATCCTGCTACATATCCCATTACCTTTCCCTCTTCCTGCTGTGTTGGAAGCATCTGTTTGTATCACTTTTCATTGCTTCTACCAGCTGCACATTATTTCCGAATATAATCTACAGTTTATCTTCTACTCTTCTACTTGTGGATATTCTAGACAGTACTTTGATAAACAGACCCTTGAGACTTCTATGGTGCATGCTTTGAAACACCTACCCAGGAATATGATTTCTGGATCAGAGGGTATTCATATATTTTATTGAAAGACATCAGATTGTGTTTTAGAATAGGCAGCAATGGTCCATGCTCTTGCAGGCAGGTCATAAGCACTTCTATATCCTCTTTCCCCTCAGTGATCAATTTTATCCAGTCCCTGATTTTTGTGGGCAGATAGATACAAAGTAAAATCTCATTTTAAATTTTATTTCACCGTTACTAATGAATTTCAGCATTTCTTCCCATGCCTTTTTATCTTGTTGCATTTTCCCTTTTGTAAAATTGACTGTTTATCTCTTTACCCATTTTTATTGTGAGGTCTCATGCATTTTCTTGTTTTGCAGAAATTCCTTATATTTCTTAGGCACTGGACCTGTAAAAATTTATAAGTTTATCTGCTCCTATTCTGTCATTTGTAACTTTTTTTCATAATGTCCTTCACTGAACAGCAATCTTTAATTGTGATAAAATTAAATTGAGAAACAAGTTTTACCTTATGGTTTGTGTTTTGAGGGTTTTGGCCAAGAAGTCTTTCCCCAACTCTGTCACAAAGTTACTCTCCTATTTTTATACTGTTAGCTTCATAGTTTTCCTTTATACTTATAGGTCTTTTATTTTTTTCTAGGCCTTTAGTACATTTTTATATGCCATGTGGTAGAGGTTCAGTGTACTTTCCATACAGTGTGCCAGTTTTCCTGCTTCATTCTCTCCTTTCCCCATGGATAAGTGATGCCACACTTACTGTGTATTCTCATGTATACACTGAACACTGTACCCTCTTTCTTTGGTATATTTGTTGCTCTTGCTCTAACCATGCTACTTTAATGCTATGGTTATGTAGTGGTTTCTCCTTTGTGAGTAATTCTTCATACTTATTTTGCTTTATCTTTATTTTAAAATAATTACAGATTCACAGGGAATAGCAAAAAGAGTACAGGGAATTCTGACTTGCCCCAATGCTTATATTGTATGTAACTTTACCCAATTTTTCTCCATGATTACATTTTTTAAAAAGATTTGTTTATTTATGCATACAAGAGCTGGGGTACAGGCCAGATGTGTGGGGGGTGAGAGGATTCACCAGAGACAGAGTGGGGAACAGAACAGGCAGATTGACCGAAATACACCGCTGGGGGGAACAGTGGGTGAGTCAGGAGAGGTTTGCTGCACCATGTGGGTTTCTCTCTGGCCGGCTGGGCATGGAATTTGTGCTGCAGAGGCTGCAGACAGCTTCATAGGTTGTGTCTTAACCCCTTGCGCCACCAGGGAGGCCCTCCATGATTACATTTTATCAACTAAAGTAGAAGAACAAAACCAAGGAATTGACATCGATACCCTGCCTGTGTATGGTTCTAGGACATTTTGTCACCTGGTGGATACCTGCAACCACCACTGCCCTCAGAACTGTGCCACCCCCACAGAGATCCCCTTCAGGATACCCCCTTCTATTCCCACCCACCACCCCTTTTCTCTGGTGATCAGGAATCAGTGTTCTATCACTATGATTTCATCACGACAAGAATGCAATGTAAATGGCGTTATTCAGCATGTGACTTATTGAAAATGTGATTCACCCAAATTGTTGGATGAGACAATTGTTTTGAGATTCATCCAAATTGTTGCATAATTTGAGTAGTAACCCATGGTATGTATGTGCTGTTTGTTTAACATATGAACCGATTTTTAAATTCATTCACCTAGAGTTCGGGGCTCTTTCTGTTGGTGGTGGTGGTGTTTTTGGCTATTACAAATAAAGCTGTTATTCTTATATATTCTTTCGTGTGTAGATATAAATTGTCACTTTTTCTGGCATCAGTGACTAGGCATATAATTGCTGGTGGAATATTAAGCGTATGTTTAGTTTTTGAAGAAAGTCCCAAACTCCTTTCCCCAGTGAATGCACCATTTCAAGGTAAGAGGCACTGAGTTTCTTTGTATCCTCACAGGCATTTGGCATTATCACTCCTTTTCTTATTTAGCTGTTCAAATAGATATGAAGTCATCACTCACAGTAGCCTTAATTTGCGTTTCCCAAGTGGCTACTGATGTTAAACATCTAGTATTGGAATTAGGTGCATGGGATTTTTGGTTTCCTCCAAGAAAAAACTTGGCTATCTCTGTTCAGCAGCACAAGGCAAGTTTATTAAGAAGAAAGATACCTGCGTAGATGTAGGGTAAATGATTTTCAGGCTTTTCTGCTCTCCTGCTATTAGGATTGCCCTGCCTGAGGGGCACCTGCATTTTGGTACATTCTTATAAGTTTTGTTGTTTACTTATGTGGGCCATGGCAGCAGTTTTGAGATATTCACCAAGAGAAGCAGAGGCAGAAGAGACAAGAGAGAGAAGCCCAGAGTGAAGACTTGCTGGGGAGCGGGGTGTGGAGGGCAGGTGGGGAGGGGGTTTGGCATCCCTGCCTGCTGTGTACCTTGTTTCTGCACTACATGTAAAAGCTCAGTGAAAGCCTGAGAAAGCCACTGAGGGGTCCTGGACTCTCCTTTAACCCGTCTGCTTGGATCATGGAAAACCTGCTCAGTGTCCATCCTGCCCCTACAGTAGATATAGGCAATTGGCAGTCTTAAAGGGCAAGAGCTGTTTTTTGCCAAAGCACAGGGTGACCTTGTATATTGTTCTTTGATGGGGTTAATTCCTTTGTGGATTTTTTTTTTTTCACTTTGTGGATTTGTTACTTTAGGGTCCAGTTGGCTTGGTTTTCTGTAGACTGATAATCCTCTCTGCTCCTACCTCGGGCTGATAATCCCTGACTTCATCTCTGGTTTTTTGCCTCATCTTGTGAAAATTTCATCCTAAATTTTCTATTCTAAACTTCTGTCATCGAGTAGAGCAGCTTCTTCATTCTTTGTACATTTTCAAATTTAGCCTAGCTGTTTGCGGATTTGTATTCTTATCTATGTATTTTAGTATTAGAGTTTCTAAAAAGAGCATATCTGAAACTTTGGTTGAGGAGGCATTGCATTTATAGATGTATTTTGGGGAAAACCGACATCTTGATATTATTAGATCACCTTATCCAAGAGCATGGAGTGATCTTACATTTGTAGTT